ACTGGAAATTAGTTGGAAAAGTTAGGCATTCATGACTTGCCGACAAATCATCCAAATTTGCATTTTGATTAATTTTTTTCACGTATGTTTTGTCGTGAAATTTGTGCAATTAGTTCTTGAGTACCTGTGAATGCCATATAATTTGCCTCTCTAAAGCCACAAGCAAACATCTATACGTATATTGATGTTTACTGTTCGGGCGAATGATATTGTCACCGCTGAAATTTTATTTCCGCAGCGAATTTTGTTACAATGAAAAAAATTATCCTCTTTGAAGTCCAAATTGTATTTGGATTTGAGAAGGACAAATTTGATATTTTATGCAAAGATTGTTGTGCAGATAGGATTTGCTTTCCCACACCACAAATTAATCATAAAATTGGAATTGGTGTGGTCATCGCAGTCATGATGGAAAATTCATTGCCGGTTTATCTAAAAAAACCCAAGTGCCCATTTGAGGCTGAACTAGCGGAAGCACTATCTGCGAGAGAGGCAATTTCACTTGCTAAGGTCTTCATTTTGGATGCGGATTCATTCTCGGTTATTAAACTAATATGCAGTTTTGAAGACACACTCTCTTACATTTGTTTGGTAATTCAGCATGTTCGTCTGCCTCTCTTAGATCAAAATATTTTAAATGCAGCTTGGATTTTTAGAGAGACAAACAAGTTCGTGCATAACTTAGCGCATTCTGGATGATGCTGGACGAATTCCACCAATCTCATAAATAAATTACCCATTTATTCAAAAAAAAATTGTCATAACTTTATAATCCATGGCTTGAAACTTGAAAGTAGAATTACTCCTGGTTGGACTGAAATTTGGAGAAGCTTAATTTCATATAGATTAACCACTTGTTTGTTGTTGCCAAAGAATAGCAATGATAATCACTATGAAAGAGCCCCTTAATGATAATGGATTTGTGTAGATTCCTTTTGATGAAATGTGGTGCTTGGTAGTTACCATAATGTCAATGACTTTTTGAATAAAAACAGATTATTATCTTCTTCTTTTTTCCACTTGATTGAAGGAACTATTCTTCATCTCCAACCCATTCGCCGCCACCCGCTCCACCACCTTCACTTTTTTCTTTTTTCCATGCTTTTGCTTCCTTCATCTCTAACCCATTTCACCGCCACCTTCCACCACCTCCAACCCCTTTCACTGCCACCACCATCACTTCTCTCTTTTTTTTTTTTCGCTTCCTTCATCTCAAAACATTTCACTATTACCCCCACCACCATCACTTTTCCTTCATCTTCATTTTTTTGGTGGTCTCCTTCCTCCCTTTTCCACTACCATCACCGCCACCGTCACCTCTCACTGTCACCACAACCACCTCCACCTCTCATTGCTTTCACCACAGTCAACACAGGTTTGATCTTTAGTATTACACACTAGCCAACAAATTTTAACTTTAAATTGTTACTCAAAATTTTAAAGAAAATCTGATCACACCAAAACTTCTTGTGAGAGAGAAAAGAGTAGAATTACATAGGATAGAATGAGAAAGGGTAAATAACTTATTACACCTTGTGATTTTAAGCTAATGGCACCTAAGGTTTAAAATAGTCACATAACCCCATTGTGGTTTTATGTAAAAAGGGAAATGGATGGAATGCACCTGCATTTATACCAAACGCGTTTTAAAAGCGCGCGTGATAAGGTTTTAATATCCACATAATCCCATTATTATTTATATAATATCCACTTTACACCCTAGAATTATATTTATCCACATAATCTCCTATGCTTTTATACAAGATGGTTAAGCAATCAATTGATTTAACATTTAAGCAAGGGCACTATTGGTATTTCAACTAACGACGCCACATATGCTATTTGTCGTCAAATTTTCACTTTACACAAAACTATAGGGGTGAAATAAATATTTTCAAACATTAGGAGGGTCATGTGACAATGGACGAAATCACAGGGGATTATATGAGGGTTCTGCAACTCTTTTTTTTTTTGCCAAGGTGTTGAATTCCAATAACAGTTGCCTAATGCACAGAATAAAAAGGAATAAATTAGCTGTTTTCATGTTATTTTTGCATATACCTCTCCTGAGGTAATTATAGGAAGTCATTATTTCTAAGTTCGCATTGACCTCTTCCATGGATTTCTTTAAGGGCAAATTCCACTTTACCCCCCTGTGGTTTCGTTTTTCACATAACCCCCCTATGGTTTCAAAAGCTATACATAACCCCCTTATGGTTTGGATTAAAGTGTCAAAGTAACGAAATAGTCACTCGTAACGGCGTCATCTAAAATGTCAAAAATACCCTTATGTAAGGCTGAAATTTATGTATTAACCAAGGGGGGTTATGTGTATATTTTGAAAATCATAAGGGGGTTATAATGGTAAAATATTAAACCATAAGGGGTTATATGGTAAAATATAAAAATCATAGGGGGTTAATGTGTCATGTATTTATAAGGGTAATTTCGACATTTTTAGAAGTTCCGTTACGAGGGACTATTTCCGTTACTTTGACACTTTAATCCAAACCATGAGAGGTTATGTATAGCTTTTTGAAACCATAGGGGGTTATGTAAAAAAAGGGTAAACCACAGGGGGGTAAAATATAATTTACCCTTTCTTTAACCAACAGTTCAGCGTGATCTTGAAATTTTTTTTCTTTCCCAATATCTTGGAGGTGTATTTAACCTAACGTGAAACTGAAAGAATGTCTTGTTTATCAAAAAGTTCAGGGTCTGGATCAACCAATTTGGTGCAACTCCTATGTTTTGAGAATTAAAAATGCATTTTCCACAAACCTGAAAGTCACTTTGCTGTTTTAATTGGGGTTTCCTGTTACTTTTGAAATCTTGTTTTGATAATTGTCAAAATACATTTGCTGATGATGCCTTCAATACAAAAGTAGTTAGAAACCCACGAATCAGAAGTCTAAGTTCAAATTCTCTTTTTTCTTCCCACGTCTTAAATCTTACCATTCTTCTCATAAAAAAGTTTTTTTTTTTGGGTTAAAAATTTTCAAATTGTGGAAGTGTTCTGACAAACTTTTCAAGTACATCAACTTCAAAAATGAAATTGCTTTCGGAAGTAGGATTATGAGCTTTGGGCCTCAACCGCGTGGCAACATGACGCGATTTTCTTGAGTCCATCTGGCAGGCTAAGATTTCAAGCCTCATGGGATTTGCTTTACCAAAGTCTCGCCACTGTAGTAGGGAGCCTACTCTTTTACCCCGATCTACCTTTTTCAGGCAGCTGACTTGAATTTTTTGTTTGGGTAAAAGAAAAATTTTGGAGGTGGAGGAGAAAATTCCCTCATCGCAAAATCACATGATAAGCTACTGCACATTTTTTAATGATATTATAAATTGTTTATCATTCAAAATCTGCCAGCACCAAAACTCAAAATCTAGGTTTTGCTAAAGTAAGATGAACGAATCTTTCCAATTGAGCTGACCTTCATTTGCCAGTTGACTTGAAGGCGTTACACACAGAATATTTCGAGTAAGTATTAGCCAGGCTTTTAGCCTCTGTTTGAATAAATGAATAGGAATGCATAAGGAACCTCTCAAACATTATTGGTGTTTTGATGTTTAAAGAACTTTTCATATGGTATATTCTACGTACGTTGGATGCTTCACATTTCACAAGGAATATCATTATGGGAAAATTACACTTTACCGGCCTATGATTTAGTATTTTTTTGCATAACCCCCTTATGGTTTCAAAAGTGTATATAACCCCCTCATGGTTTGAATTAAAGTATCAAAGTGACGGAATTTGCAATACATAACAGAGTCAACTAAAATGTCAAAAATATCCCTATATAAAGTTGAAAATTATTTATTAACCACAGGGGATTATGTATATATATTTAAAACTATATAGGAAGTTATATGTAAAATATAAAATCATACAGGATTTGAGTGTCGTACATATTATGTTTATATATTTTAGTCACTTCAGCTATTTTAGTTTTTAAACAAGGGTAATTTTGACATTTTCATAGGTTTTGTCACGGATAATCATTTTCATCACTTTGACATTTTAATCCAAATTATAATGAGGTTATATATAGTTTTTAAAACTATAGGGGAATTATGTCAAAATTAACTATACCACAGGGGGGTAAAGTGTAATTTGCCCCATCATTAGACTTACCACAAAGGAATAATAATGAATAACAGCTTGGCTAGGTGAGAAACCAACCAAAATAAGTAATACAACAAAATGCAATTACAAAAACCTTCATGATCAATCGTGAGTACTATTTATTTGCTAAGTGTTCAAACCATGATTCACCAAACCCTCTATGTATAATATCTTTATTGTGAAGGCTATAATTGCTCAAATCTTGAAGTATTTATACTATCATAATATGAATGGAGAACAAAGAAAAATTATTACAAAGCACTTGTTATGCACTGCAATACTAACCGAACCACGTTTCTTTTCTTTAGGTGAAAACTTAAAGTGTACACCAAACCGATTGACCTTTGGTCTATTTGTTCAACAATTTTATTGTTTTTAGTATTGTTTATACTCCAAATAGTTTAATCATCAACTTGCCTTAACGAGTTGCAATTGGAATGAATATTTATAGCATCAATTGTTAAGAATTAGACCATCAAACCTGATCGAGAAACCTATACTTGGAAATTTTGGATCTTATTTGTATCTAATTCTTCATGCATTGACATAAGATCGAATGAGGATCTAACTACTTTACATAAAATTATAGAGGAATTGTGCGAATATGTACAAAACTATGAGCAATTTAAGTGAATATCCATGCAAAAGTATAGAAACTAAGTGCTTATTATAATTTCATTACACGTATTTTCGGAGCATTTCTAGGTCAATCACCGTAAGTGGAGGTGCTTTTTGTTTAGTCTTCACCTTACATAAAATTACGGGCTATGTGGATTATTTTAAGGTATAAGGGAGATCATCTAGAAATATGCAAAACCATTTCGGGGTTATTAGTAATTTATCCAATTTGATATTTTATCATCCAACCCACTAAAAAGAAACAGATTTACTCAAAAAAAATCCGATTTATTGCAACATTTCAACACCTAGATTAGAAACTTTTATCTATGATCATTCAAAAATCAGAAAAGAATACAAAATTTAAAAGCACACTTTTCTTCAATTCTGTACCATTCATCACTTGCTTCACAAAGTAACCATATTATTAAGTTTGGCATTTGGCACAGCAGCATCTAACAAGGTGGCATGTCTGGAGGTGGAGGAAGCATTTGTTCTCCCGGGCCAGTGCCATTTTTAACAATGAAGGTCATTCCCATTCCCCAGCTTACATGACGCTCGAAATGGCAATGCATGAACCACACGCCTGCAAAGAATTAGGTGAGCCTATGACGTTATAATCCTTGCTTACAAATACATACCACAAATAGTACTATGCCGGACACATTTAACAATTTTTTTTTAATAAAACAAACTATATTGAAACAAGATAAACAAACACCAGGTTAGAAGATTTTGAGTATGAATTTTGCAATTGCGGGAAAGGTTGCACATACACCAGGTTAGAAGCGCCAGAGGACTTGATATATATATATATATATATATATATATATATATATATGTAGCACATAAAGGCAACTAGATTGATGCTTACCAGGATTATTGGCCCTGAATCGGATAGCTGTCCAGCCGTTCCTGCGAACAGCAATTGTATTCATAAAAGGGGGGTCCTCAGTGTTATAGTTCTGAGGGTCTGTTACATTGTCAAAGATTTGAGGACCTGATCCAACTACGTAGAAACTGTGTCCATGCAAATGCATGATCTATCCGTAACCAGATTCGTCCCTTGGAATACTATCTCGACCGTGGAGTTATATTCAAGAACTAAAACTTGGGTACTTATATTAGGCAATCGTAGTTCTACAGGAAGATTATTTGCTGTATAATTGAACACAAACGGTGGGAAGTGGGGAAAGTCAGGGTCATAAATTCCTCGAGTCTGATTGTAGTAGGCTTGAAGTATATCGAGCTGGGGCAATTCCAAACTTTGGTTGTTAACGCTAGCTCTTAGCCGGCTGCCTGCGGGCCCGTTATGTATTATGGTTCACACGAGACATTGTTTATCGAGAGTGTGAAAAATAGATTAGTGGTCACATTTTCTGGGACATGAACAGGATGTTCTGGACTTGCTAAGCTTTTAAGGCTTCCTGTGAAGTTATATGTTGAATTGGCATCATCGGCAGCTGGGAGATTTGGGAAGATTGGAGATGAAGTTGCATTGTACTCTCCCAAGTATTGGATTATTCCCGTGGTGGTATTCTGGTCGTAAAAAAACAGTGACATTGGTATAAACCTTAGCAGCCATGTAGTAGTGATCAGGTTTTTGATTAGCTTCTAACAAGACATCCATGGTTTGTCCTGGGGCTATGGCAATGTAACCACTCTTTAATTGCTTTGTGTAGCTGCCATCTGTTCCCACAACGGTAAGAGTATGGTTTGCAATGCCAAAGAACATCAGGTTGTTCATGACAGCATTGACCATCCGGAGCAAATAAGTTTTTCCGGAAGTCACATTCAACTTGAATGTATCTGCAAAATGACAAGGTTTCAGAGAAATCACACAATTTGACCAATTGAAAATGGTCCTTTTAATCCTGTATCACTTACCTGGTACTACTGAACATGAATTAAAATCGCCAGGATGGCCGTTTATCATGAAAGCATCAGACTTCGCAGGGTCTCCCCCATTATGTAAAAATTCTTCCACCACATCTGTTATATTTCTCTTCCACCATTCTCCTGCATTGAAGCATTTTTAATCGTTAATTTCTGTTTTAATCATGTGTACCTTAAATTTCAATTTTGGACATGTTGGTTACACCATAACCTCTCAAATTTGTCCTAGTTTATCAAAATAAAAGATTCGGATGCAAAGTGTTAAAACTGAAGTTTAGAATAAGGTGCAAACTGAGAATGAGGTACAAGTTCGGAGGCAAAAAGTTGGATCCAGTCCAAATTTAATATACAAGAAAATAAAATGCAATGACTAAACTAGTGAAAACAAGATTCCATCACCCTTCTTAATTTGAAATGCACCAGTTGAATCAGACTACACAGTAACAAACTGATAAAAATAGTCAGACTGATTGTCAGGGAAATGATTTACTAAATGGGGTGATTTTGATTTATTACCAAATCAAATTGACCTCAGGAAATGTAATCAAAGAATAGAATTAATCCCTTTATTTGTACCTAGTATGATGGGAATTTCTGCATCAGGCTTAGGAAACGGGTATCTATCTCCTCTTTTGGGGTAAATAATGATTGCGCCATGAACTGTTGCTCGAGACCAATCACTGTGAGCATGCCACCACAAAGTTCCAATCTCTTCCGTGATTATGACCTTTTGGATGAAAGAGTTTCCAGGCATGATAGGGCACTGAGTGATGAACTCTGGACCATCTGACCATGGGTACCTTGGCTGTAAAATTCCATGCCTAGATACGACTCAAAGTCGTTCAATAAATTAAGCTTTACTTCTTAAATTCAGCATCGACAAATGCAATGCTTCTCCTATATATCCTTTAAAAAAAAAGGAAGAAGAGAAAATCATTTGTATTACCAGTGAATAGTGATGTTTTCTTTTCCTTTGTTATGGACATGAACAAAGGCGGTATCTCCCTGACGAAGGTGTAAGGTTGGTCCTGGAAATAGACCATTTACTGTCAAAATATCCTTGGTACTGCAGAGTCTTGTATATGAAGCTTCTTTGACCTGCACAAAATTAGAGGTGATTGTAAAATGATAGGGAAGCTAAAGAAGTATGAAGTCTTTCATAGAGCCATTGTTCATATATCGATACATTTAGCAAATAAAGAAATTAAGACCGTTCATACGTGTAGGTTATCAGTACTAATCAATGATAGATGACTTGACATTTAGCACAGTACATTCGCTTATTTGAGAATGTAAACATTGCTTTATGCCTATATCTTCGGGATGTGTATATTGGTGCAGGTTTTAGGTTTCACTTGAATTCTGAAATGTTTGCAACAAATCAAACAGCCATGGGCTAGCTTATGATGAAATGGGGAGAAGAACAGAGCAATTTGGAATTTTGTAGTATTCGTTTGTGTTGAATGTTAAACTCTTGTTTCCCTGGGGGAAGAGAGAGAGAGTAGTCAAATCCCTAAAGTCATAAATTTTCTATTTGCCCAAAAAAATTAATGGATACAAGCTCATATTTCATTCTTACAAGGTATAAAAGAAAAGGCAGAAATCACTGCTAACAAACAATTTTGGATACAAGCTCTCAAGCTACTTATTTGCAAATCACTTAATAAACATCAACTGTTACTTAAAGGGAAAAAAGCCTGCCACGGAAAACATTTTTGATGATTTTGGGGCAAAAAACTCTTTATGCGGCGCCAAACTTAGAATGTTTCCATCTCTAAGACCCAATGTAACTGATAGAAATATTAGTTAAGTGATAATAAAATTTTTGGGTTCGACTCTCATTGTAAGATTTGGAATCTCCTTTTAAAAAGGAAAAAAAAAACCTAAAATGCTTCATAAGGAATGATTACGATCTTCAAACTAAGTTATACTTACCACAAATGAATAGTTATGAGTAGCAGCTTGGGTAGGCGAGACACCGAAGAGAATAAGTAAAACAACAAAATGCAAGACAAAAACCTTCATGATCAACCACATTATATGACTATGTTTGTTGTGATGTTAGTATAAGCATAAGCTCTTAAGGTATTTATACTATCAACATATCAATGGAGACAAAGGAAATAATTGAATACTTGTTTCGCTCGTGAAATGGGTTCGAGTACTTAGCAGACCACGTTTCTTTTCTGACAACAAAAGAATTAGGTATACATCAAACCCCTGATTGACCTTCTTGGTTACGTCTACAGTGGAAAGTTCACTTTTCTGCCCACGGTAGGCAGAAGCAATGCAAGGAGAAATCGGTTGTGCTTGGATGAAATAACGCAATATATAAATTATAATAAAAAGCCCTCTTAAAAATTTGTTCATCATCTAATGCATTATTTAGAAAATATTTGTGAACACTACAATCGAGATGAGGATCCCAATAGAAAGTGAAGAGCGAAAAGAATCGTGGAAACAAAGGAACGGAAAGGTAGACGAAATTATTATAACGGAAAATGGGTGAAATTTTCAACATTATATATTGAATTTTATACATGTTAAAGCAAATATTGTAGTAGTTTTTTTTTAATTGAGTTTAATATTGGAAATAATTGAAGCGTATATATAAAAGGAAGAGTTGGGATATAAAAAATGATTAAACTAATGGAAATGTGCAATTTTGGTCCCCAACGTGTGTGGTTTATGAGTTAAACTAGTCCTTAATATATTTGACCAAAATAAATATGGTCCCAAATTTGTTTATATTAGGCAAATTTAGGACAGCTAATAGAAAACTACAATATCTAACGGTCAAAATCAAGTTAGAACTAGTCAAAACTTTTGACTTTATATTTTTTGGTCCCTAATATGTGAAAATTTGATCAATATGGTCCCTGATGTTTTAAAAATTATATTTCAAATGAAATAAAATGTGAATTAGATTAAATGCATAAAAAATGCGTTCTAAATCTCATTAAAATCCTTAAAAGTAATTCACATTGTCAAAACATATCATTTAGGCTAAAGAGCATCTTTTTGTTAAATTAATTACAAACAAATGATAACACATAAATCATATATAAAGAAAAATTAGTGCAAAAAGAGAATTTTATTTGACTATATAGTAGCTTTAATTCTAAACAGTATAACACAAATTGTTGCATGACTTGTGGATGGGAGTTTCAATCGATTATGGTTAGGCATTGTGATTACAACAACAAGTAAAAGTAATTACCAATATAAAATACTCACATGAATTTTTAAAAAATTTCTTGCTATTTCTTTTTGTCTTTCCTTCATATTAAATCAAATATTTCAATAATACAATTTAATGTATTGATATTTATGTTCATCTTAAATTGATAATTTTATTGAATAATTTAAATAATTATAAATCTTTATTTCAATTGAAACTTAATTGACAACTAGTTGAAAATCATGTGCTGAAAAAGTGATTCTGTTTAGTTTTCACCCCCAGTTGTCCTTCTCTATCGGTTTGGGGGTTAGGAGAAGAAAAAGGTATGAAAAGGGGTGAAAACTTAATTGGGGGTGAAAATATGTCCTTCTCTATTGATTTGGGGGTTAGGAGAAGAAAAAGTGACCTCTAGCTTTCTTTAACAACTTGCGCAAATCATGGCAGGAAAGGTTGTACCCAACATTTGGCCAAAAAATATATATATAAGGGTCAGATTGCATCTTATACACCCTTTTTTACCTCACGTGTGAAATTCATAAAATTTTGTTCTATATTTTTACCGTGTGCATACAAAGTTATTTCTTATACATTTTGCACAGAACCGTACTGTTCCAAATGATTTTCTTGATAATCGTTGGGACCTGTGTCCATAATTTAGTTTTTGACATAAAAAATAAGTCCTACAATAGTTCGTGAATACTAATGAAAGATAAAGTCCATAAAAGACGTGGTTCTTTGCTATATTTCTCCTCCTCTCAATTGTTAAGGCTTGGATTCTTTCAAGAAAAAAGCAAAAGGGAAGATGAAATATTTTGTATTTTTCTCATTTTACATCTTTTTAGTGGTCAATCAACTATCAAATCAAAATAAATAAAAGCTACAAATAAAACCTAGAACCTCTCCTAAAATATTTAGGCTGAGGATGGTGTTAATTAGATAAATTTTTCAAAAAAAAAAAAACTTCAGCTTTCCATTTTATGTTTTGGGGTCTTTCCCTCTAATGATCAGAAAATAATCTAATATATCGACTTGAAAAATGGTAATTCCATGATATTTGGGATGGATATCTAGTGAATTATGTTTTAACTTTTATTTTATGAAGGTCAATGATCAAGAGAAAAGAAAAAAATTGATCAGAAAAGTTTTCGACTCACAATCAATACCCCATTTCCTGATTGCCCCTTTAACGTTTTTATTGAATTTGTACGGCTCAAATCACTTAGCTTTTTTCCTATTAATTAGCATTATTCACGTATCAGATCTGTGTCTGAAGACTTTTTCTATGGATACTAAATTCAACCTACGAATAAAATGTCTTCATATATTCCACTCCTTTTGTTTTCATACCACGCACCGACACAAATCAATGATTGACAGACACGTTCATGAACGTACTTACACAAGATCTCAGTCCAGACCTCCTGGTGAATTTCAATTTGATTCCTCCATTTTCCTCAAGTAGAGGTGGAATTCAATTAATATTAGCAATTAGAGAGCTGTCACTCCCTACAGTTCGTAATTATTTTGTATATGCACTTTTTCAAATAAAAAAATAAGGTATTAATTTACTGGTCAAAGTTGAGATTTCAAGAGTTACAAGTAATGAAGTCAAGTTTTATAAATTATGAGAGTAGTCTCACCAGAGGTGGAGCTGCTCAATCAACTATGTTGAGCTCCATTTTGGTAAATTAAAATTTGCGTTAAGTTCGATTCTCGTCATTATCACGAGATAAGACACATTTTTAGAGCTATAAATAACTTATAAAAGTTACAGATCACCTACTAAAATAGTCCTCACATCCGTAGTGAGATTTGCGAGCACGAAATGTTACAATGTTTTCTCATCAAAAATCATTACAAGGCGTATTGCTAACACAGAGGAAATGAGGAACAATTCCCACTCTTCTTATTGAATAAATACACAATATCTGTCATTTTGGTTTTCGTTATGAAAGTAACTACATAGTTATCCAGTTTTGACTGGTCATCAAGTCGTCTTTCAATCACGGACAGTGATATAATGCAAATACAGACGGGAGACACCCAAAATTATAAACAGCGAAATTAAGAAAATATATGTGTTGAGGATTGGGAAAATATGTGTTAGAGAGATTAGAGAATGAATCAGATACCAGTAGAAGTTGTGGATATATATATATGATTTCGTCCATAATTCATTTATAGGAAGTTATTTTAGGCAAAATTTCTCTAAAATACTTCGAAGAAAAAAAAAAAGCTTATTTAGGCTTTTTCTTGCTGTTTCCTGAAGTTGATTCAGTAGTGACTAGAAAATCATCAAAACAGTTCATTTTATACCGCTTAAAGGAGTGATTTCTAGAGAACAAAAAGGGTGGGAATAAAAAGATTATTCACGTATTTTTTTTATATAAATTAATGACTATACAATACATGGTACAAAATCACTATTTAATGCTTTATCGTGTGAATTGAAATTCTTGCTAACTAGCCAAAAGACAGACAAATTGCAATTCTGTCGCCAACTGGAGCCAATTTTTGGAGAACAGAATACCGAGTGAGTTTACTTCCGTCGTCAAGAACCATGTGCTATTTGAAATGCATAATAATATCGAGTGAGTTTTGTTAGCAGACTTAAACAGCTGACATTCTTCTTTGACTTATAGACAAAAGAAAAATGCATCTCTATCATATTACTGTGAACTTATTGACTAAAGGCATCTTTTCATTAGTTTTCCAACTAAATTAGGCAAGCAAAGCAACATCATTGGAGGGGCAAACAAACGTGTATGTAGATAAATGAGATACACATGCATCAGTTGAGTGAATAGCTATTATTAAAGTAAGATTAAGAAGAAGAAAAAAAAGTTCAGTCCATCTTCTAGAATGGAAATTAGTTGGACTAGAAAAGTGAGGCATTCATGATTCACCGACAAAATCATCCAAATTTGCATTTTGATTAATTTTTTTACGTATTTTTTGTCTGAGATTTGTACAATTAGTTCTTAAGTACCAAGGAATGCCATATAATTTGCCTCTACAATGCCACATGCAAGCATCTATTACGTATTAATGTTTATTGTTTGGGGCAAATGATATTGTCACAGCCCAAATTTTATTTCCACATCAAATTTGTTAGAATGAAAAAGAATTACCTGTTTGAAGTCCAAATTGTATTTGGATTTGAGAAGGACAAATTTGATATTTCATTGCAAACATTGTTGTGGAGATAGGATTTGGTTTGTAGTATTAACAGCAGCCATTGTTTAATTGTCATAACTTTATAATCCATGGTTTGAAACTTGAAAGTAGAATTACCCCCGGCGGGACAGAAATTTCATAATCACAAGATGACCCGTAAAGTTTCTAAGTCGATCACTTTAACCTCCTTTTGATTTTCTGTTTCATTACATAACTGTCCATGTATGTAATTTCATTGAAAATAAAAGTCCTAGGACTAGAGATGGCAAAGGGTGCAGGTGCCCGCGGGATCTATTGGGGCAGGGGGGAATTTTTTCCCCTAGTTTAGAAACGGGGCACCCCCCCCGCCACCCGTTTAGAAAAAAAAGATATATATATATATATATATATATATATATATATATATCTATGTGTGTGCATAATTATATATATAATGATATTATCATTTACACTACTAATTATACATGTCTATTAATAAAAATTATTAATTATTTATACTAAATTTATCAATACATTTATATTAAATTCCTAACTACACTTAATACAATAATACTTTTTCTAAAAAAAACACAATAATAATTTAGTGATTGTATTTGTATCAAAAGTAAAAACTTGATTATTTTAGTTATATTTGTTTTATCATATTAGATTGTATTCAGATAACTTTTGTTTAATTATTTTTATGAGTTTCAATTGTGA